AACCAGCCAGCCAGGCACAAAATGTTCGCAACATTTCACCAACAATTAATAGTGATAGTGATGGTAAAAACAAAACACAGCCGAACAAAACAGAATAAAATAAAACACATGCAATTTAATTCGATTTGATTTGATTTGATTTCATTACATTACATGCTCAAAACATCAAATAGAATCGGAGCAGAGCGTTTCTGCTTATAATGGGCCGTAATATTCTGGTAGTTAACCCGCACTTAACCTGCCAACGGCCAAGTGAATAGAAAAATAAAGCAATGGGAAAGGAACGCAATCAAAATAAACAAATTTGCCAAAGAAAATTATTTGACTATGATGTGCGAGTTGTTGGCAACGCGACGAACCTATGTTGAATTGTGTATGTTTGTAATTTTATTTTTGAATTACGAAAACAAAAAGGAAAACGCAATTACAACGACAACAAGCACAAGCTGAGCGCAGGCACAATAAATTTATTGTCATTTCAGTGCAAACGACTGAAATGAGTTAAATAAAAGCAGCACTTGTGAGTGAGTCTCATGCTCTCACATTTCATCTATCCCTCTCTCTCTCTCTCCCACACACCCAAAACGGTTTATACACTCAGAAAACACCTAACAATTGGGAAAAATGTGAACAAAGTGTTACCCAATTCTTAAGCAGAATTTCTGAATAATTGTAGCTGGTTTCGAAATCTAGATGCGAATCTTCTATGTTGCCGATTTTATGTACAATGATAATATTTAAATCTGATGTCAAATGGTGTTCTAACGAATTAAGAGCTCTTGATGTTGAGTCCACCTTTTAAAATTCCATGAAAAATACGGATATGGTAAAGGCTTTGGATTTTATATGGGAAACTAGTACAGACAATTTACGTTAAGGATCCTAATTAAAAGAGTTCAATCAAGGGAGAACGTTGCAGCAGAACCAAACCGATAGTGATATATCCTGCACCCAAAAATAGTCATGTTTTATATGCGTTGTTGTAATAGCAGAAAAACAAGAAAAAGAGGAGCGTTCCATTTTGGTGATAAAATTCATTCGCCGATTTTCATGAAATTAAAAACAGTTTAGAGATTTACATATAATTTATGTATGGAAAGTTAAGTTTATGCAGCGGAAGGTGGGGGGATAGAAAAGAAAGACAGAAAACTAAAATAAACTTGTATTGCATCGAGACTAGAAGAGTCTACAGGGTGCGCCATCTTTTATGTCGGTATGTAAACATTGAATATCTTTGAAAAAAAACAAGTAAAAAAGCTAAAGTCGGGTGTCCCGACTTTGAAATACTCTGTACATATGTTTACAATAATTATAGAAAATAAAAAAAAAAATAAATAAAAAAAAATTGGATCGATTTTACCTCTCTCGGTATTCGAACTCACGTAAAGGGTGTATAATTGCACATTTACATAGCAATTGCGTCTGTGTGAGTGTATGTATGCCTATGCGCATCAATTCGTGTCTGTGTAAGCATTTTCGCAGTCAACCAAACAGCAACATCAACAACAGCCGCGGGCAGCGTTTGAGCAGCGCTGCTGCAGCAAATATATTTATGGCTATAACTTCTTGGTAAATCGGTCTATCATAATGAAATTTGGCATACGGACACATAATAACTAACTGGGGGTATTTGCAAAATTTTAGTTCGAAATTCCAAGAATTACGGGAGTTAGAGAAAATCGCATTTGCGGTGGAGAGGGGGGAGGGAGGGAAATTCCAAAATATACATTTTCTGCGTATTCACACAAGGCATCTTGGACTAAAATTTGGTGTACCTAGGTCTTATAGTCTCCGAGATATAGGCGATTATACGAATGGAAAATCGGGAAAACCCCCATAGGGGGGAAGTGGGGGGGAAAATCAAAAAAATAAAACAAACTCGTATAGAATACACACATAACGCATCTTTGTGGAAAATTTGGTGTCTCTATCTCTTATAGTCTCTGAGATCCAGGTGTTCATACGGACGGACAGACGGACAGACGGACAGACAGACAGACAGGGCTAGATCGACTCGTCTTGTCACGCTGATCAATAATATATATACTTTGTGGGGTCTGCCACGCCTCCTTCTGCCTGTTACATTTTTCAGCTCCCGCAAACCTAATATACTCTTGTACATTTCATGTACAGAGTATAACAACCGATTTTCAAGTATGAGATATTTTTATTTGATTTGGTTCTGTACAATTTCTTGAACTGAGGTTTTCAACACTGGTCTACTCAAGTCAATCGGTTCACTATTGACAAAGTTATTCAATATTTACATACCGACATAAAAGATGTATATGTATACCGAATTTGTTCAATATGGACAAAGCCATTTGCAAAACCAAGACGTTCATACAGACGGATGTTTTGTTTCATTATGCAGATTATGAATTTAAATACTTTACAGGGACGAAGATGTTCCTTCTGAATAGAACATTCATTGAATAAACTTAAAACACCTTATTACCCTTCGTGTAGAGCGTATAAAAGGAGCTAATTGCAGGGAAACATTGCCCTACTAGACTATGTATATTACGCGGTGGATATTTAGTGATAGATATGGATATGGTAAAGGCTTTTATCAATGACAAAATCGCGATCGACTCTGATTTGTTTCCTGAAGAAGAACACCTATTTACGTACTATATATACTAATATACATTTTCTAGAATGTTACAATAATGAATCTGAATTCTTAATACATATAATGCATTAGGAATTTCTCGGAGTGTGCCAGCTATTGTGGATGTGCGACTGAGCGATTACACAATCGATTTGTAGAAAAGAAAAAAACACAACAAAAAATTAGTTGTAAAATTGAACAATTGAATTTACTTGATTGAGACAACAATCAAGAGGAGGGTTATTGACGAAGAGAGGGACAGAGAAGGAGGGAGAAGACGGTAGAGTGTGCATGGGGTACGAGTATGTGAGGGAGGGTGCATCACATGTTATAAATGCAAATTGTTGACGTTAATTTGTATCGCTCGGCTGCGTGGGCGGGGTGTGGGGGGATGCTACTAATTGGAGGGACAGCCACAGAGAGAAGGGCAGGCCAGGCCAAAGTGAAAGTGTTGACAACAATGAAAATAATGTTGGTAATGATGCTGATGATGGGGATGATGATTAAACCGACTGATGCTGGGCGCAAATGAATTAAATTGTATTAAAATGCATTCAATCGTGCCAGCGAGCAACAAAAAGTAGAGTGAGGCGGCGCCAGCACGCGGGGTAGCCTGTGGGAATTACTTGACACGCATACAAACAAGCATACACACTTTCTCAAACACATCGAGAAGACGAGTGAGAATCGGCTGCCACAACAGAGCGAATTAAAAATGAATTGTCGAATGCTGATGACGACAACAATAACCACGAACCTGCGAACACATTCATTTTTCGGGTTTGTTTGACAATCACGCAAGCGTAAAGTTAATGCTCTTTTTTTCCGTTTTGTTTTTGTTATTGATTGTTATGTAATAAAGAATGAGAAATATGCACCCAATTGACACAAAACTCGAAGCGAAGCTCAAATATTTGCTCATATTTAGTTGAATATTTCAAAGATAAATATTATATACATTTGTTGTACTTACGGTTCAGCTGAAAAAGATGGGAATATGTTGGGAAGGAAAAGAGGAGGAGTAGGGAGTAGAGCATAACCATCATATTTAGAAGGCCGCCAAGCATTGAACAATTGACGCAGGCTAAAGGGCAAAGGTGCTCGACGCTACGGCGTTACACAAAATTGTCTATAAAGCTAGAAATATTTCAGTGTCTTGTCTTATTTTGTTTTTGTTTTTTACGCCGAACTTTTAATAGCTAATTTATTTATGCGTCGCTGGCGACGCTCCTCTGGTCGGCTCGTAAAAAAGCAGCACAGCACGAGCCTTTAAGGGCAACGCGTGGGCCACCGTTTGCTGGACACGCGCATCGCCCAGTAGCCTTTTAAAAATGCACACGCATACACGCATATACTATAAATAAATACATATATATTATGTATGTGTGTAATATTTAGGTGCTTCTAAATTTCTTATGAGCGCTTTTATGTAATTACGCTGTTGCGGAAGAAGGGATGATAACACAAATAAAATATGAATTCGAATTCACATTTACATTTTTGGGGCAATCAGCACAACGCCAGTTGCATATTAATATGATTCCTCTGGTGATTCGCTTTGAATCAACTTTTCAAGAAATATGCAAAAATGTCACTTTCCGCTATTATTGTGTATACGACATGTTGTAAGCGTTGTGGGACGTTGTGGCAGCAAGTTTGACGCCTTGGCCCACTGTGCGTGTGTGTGTGTGTGTGTGTCAAAATAATAAATGACAGATTAGAAAACCAAATCAATTCGAGCGCGACTGTCTCGTCGACTGTGGGTTGTCAAATGGCTCCGTCTCCGTCTGTCACTGACTGGCACAATTATTTGAGACGTTACATAAAAAAATCAAAATAAAAAAACAAGAGCCGTGAAGGCAAAAGCAAAGAACGAATCGAAACGCAAATTTTGCAGCAGTTATTGTGCGTATTCATGTAAATTTTAGGCACACACTCACACTCACACACACACACACATCCCACAATTCGCCTGCAGTTCAATGGAGTTCAATGAAGCGTTCAAGAATAGCTTGTGGGGCTGCTGTGCTCTACTTTTAGGGTTGGGGTCGGGTAGGGTGGTTGGGAGGTGAATGATGTTGGGCTGATGAGGGCTTTTCAAATATTTTAACGGGAAATTAAATTCGCTCATTATTGAAAGGAAGCAAAATTGTTTTCCCTATCCTCTCCGGTATTGCTGCAGCTCGAATTTTAATTAAGAGATAAAATAGCTGCCCCACCCGCACTCATACGAGTATGAGTATAATATATAATACGTATAATTAACAAATATTTGGCGTTGCTCGCTTCCTAGTTATTTCCCCAAATCAAGCTCATTAATGGCATTAAAAATAAAACATCTACAACCAACTGGTTAGTACGAAAAAATGTCCAGCGTGTGACTCACCTTATGACGTAGTTAACGCAAACCACACTCTGTGGCTTCAATTTATCATAAACAATGGTGGCTTGTGTTACGATCCAACAATAGCCGCCACTCTTTCCAAGAAAACGATAGCGGCAGGTTTCTCCCTGGCCCTTGTTATGCACTGTAATGAAAAGCGAGAGAGAAAGAGTTAAAATATTGCTAAAATGTTCTAGTTCATTTAGCATCGCTAGCATACTCGTATGTAAGTCAAGTTCTTAATGCAACTACTTGACAAACAAATCAAATTACAAAGTTAGCCGCGAGTAAGGCGCCAGCAATAACAATAACAGCAACAACAACATCAACAACCACAGCATTTTGCGGTTTGGCGCGTAAACTTGTGACAATTTCTGATTATTCTACCCAGTGTATATCTTTAGCAAATTGTCAAGTATCAGGTAACGGCGTCAAAAAGCGCCCAAGCATTAAAATTATATAATGGCAGAGTTCCATATGTGGCACAGTGGTTCAGAAACTGTCTCTAGCTCTCCCTCGGATCATGTATTCAAGTGAAAAGTGTAACAGGCATATAATTGTTTTTGCGCATAAAGTGTTTGTGTCATTGACTACTCCATATGTTACATACAAGTATAAGCCACTATACCTTAAAAGAAAAAAATCGTACCTTTTTTATTATCTCATAGTTTTGTGACAAGCGGCACAATTGTCTTACTTTACGGGCAGTCCGGATACTAATGACAGAGTCGAGTCATACATAAACCTTGTGACCTGTCTACTGCTCAGTAGACAGAATGGAAAAAGCAATCTATCATACGGAATGGAAGATGTTATAGAATTCTCGGGTCTGTCAATATATTCGATATTTGATTCGGGGCGATTAATGCTAGCACCCCGTGGGGCACCAGATTCGCCAGAACTGAAGCTTTGGGTATCGGTGGTACAATCGATACTGCTCCAGGGCTGTGGTAAGCTAGAGAGAAATCCATACACTTTAAATAATTTTAGAGGACTCACTAAGATATTCCCACTAAGATATTCGCGGATGGCCTAAAAATGGAGACAGTAATTGGAGCAGCAATGCAATATGCAGATCCTGAGCTAAAGCAGTCGTATAAGCAGCTCGAATACTGCAATATCTTTCAGGCGGAAGTATTTTACAAACCGCGCAATTACGAGTCTTTTTATGTTTGTGGACGGACAATCAAAGACATAAACTTTGCAGAAGTAGAAAGTGCCAGCTATTGGAGAGGCTTTCTCGAGGTAGAGCAGGTTCCTAAGAGATCTTCTTGGAGATTATTCTCCAATACCCGACTTCACTAAGAACCCGTTTGTGTTAACCTAACCTAATCTATATTATATTTTAACCCATTGATTTAAACATAAGTGGCAATACAAACGAAAGACGTTACGTTGCATATCATATCACGTCTCTATTGCAGCTCAGTACAGCTCAGTTGCTCCAATTTCGAATTTATTTTCAATGGTTGTGTTTTTTTGAGCCACTGTGAGGCATAATTTATAAGCTTCAATGTTGAGAGGTAATTTGTGTCAACGCCTGTGCAACATAAACTCGATTTTCATTAAAACCGCTGGCAAGAATTAAATATACATGCGCCCATCAATTTGTGTGTGAGTGTGTGTATGTTTCTGCCATTCACCTTTACTGAAATTTCAATAAAATTTAATACGAGTCACAGCCCGCAAGGACATAAGCCGCCGCCCCCATCGGGCGCTAGAAATGAAAATTCATAAGCTGTCCACCTTGGCAGCAATTGAAATTCATGGCAGCCTCACCAGAAACGGTGCATGTTATGCAAATGTGTCAGCTGGCATGGCATAATTACAGGCGCAGGTGTACCTATAGCATTTGTTTAATATTCGGACATAAACATAAAACTTCGACTGCAATTAAATTAAATTACTGTGATACACGACCATACTCGTAAATCAGCACGTGTCTACAAATCGACGGAGGACTCTTTGTTTACTTAAACAACCATTAATGCCATGAAATTTGAGCGGAAGCTGCTGCTGTTGCCTCGCATCGTTATAATCACTCAGTAGAGGCGACCACAACTTAAGCGAAACGCGCCACAAGCCACAGATCCAGGGAGCCACAGAAGACAGCCGTATAAAGTTGCCATCGTCCCTCCGACACACATATACTTACTATATACATATATATGTATAGAAAGCAACGTCCACAAACATAGCATACTCGTATATCTCGGTCGCGGATTCACTCAGTCATTCATTCGGTTAATTTGAAATCAGCAGCAGAAAATTAGTTTTCTTCTTTATTTTTTCGCTGCCAGCGTCGCTCTAAGCCCAATGTATTAATTTCAAGCCAAGTCAAGCCACCAAGCCACGCCAAGAAAAGCCAACAGATACGTGTTGGAGTCGTCAACCCACAACTAAGCTACTGCGGCTGGGGGCACGCTTTGCAACCAAGTCAATGGCGTTGTAATTATGCCAGATCATTAATAAAGCCCAAGTAGGCTTCTTCTCAGCAGCTGTTGAGTGCCAGCATCGAGATTGATGTCCGCCATATGTACGTCTCGTAACAAGGTTATCATTCGAGCAGAAATAAATAACGACTCAAAACTACAGTCCACTGGCGAGCGCACAAAAGTATGCAACACAAGGCAAAGTACAAACTCATTCAAGTGAATAATCAATATGGCGGACAAAGATCTATTTCAAGGAACTACAAGTATATTTAGATTAGTTTTAAAATGTAGAGACTTGCATCGCAAAACTGTTGGTTTTGGGTGTTCCTGGAGCAGGAGAATTGAAAAAAGCATACGAATTTATCTTCGGCTAAACAAACTACTTATATAACCTAATGTGTCTGTACTATTTAGTTTGGCAGAAAAAAGCTCCTTTTTTGTACTTTCTCTTTACTCAATGACCAATTTGATTTGATTTCAATGGTTTTAATAAATAAACAAGTTTTTACAAAAAGAGATTAAGGCAAACAGATATCAAGATCATGCTGATCTTATATGTCGTCTACCAGTACCAAGATTTCAGAAATTAACAACCAACTTCTTATCCCCACGTAATATACATATATGGATAGTAAATTTTATCCCAAAAATCTTTTGAGTAAGCCAAATCATTCTGCTTTAAGGATATGTCCACTATATTTGCTAGAGTACTATGCATTCCATGCACATCCTGTCTGCTGCAGCTGCAACGAACGAGTGGCAACGGCCGTGGCAGAAACAACGACGTCAACGGTGCCATATTTCTTGCGCTCAGACATTTTGCTAGTGTTTATAGAATTAGCAAAGTGCAGCAGCAGTTGTTGTTTTTTGTTGTTTCTGCTGGCGTTGCTGCCGTTCCAGCCGTTGCTGGCTGGAGGATGGCTCTGAGCCTGCATTGCCATGAACTTGATTTGCCCTTTATTCAAGGACTTTTCCTGGTTGCCAGTCGTGCAGTTGTTCGGTCGTGCGCATCGCACTGCATTCACTGCGCATTCAAGACACAAATATTAAAATATTTGCACAAGCGACAAAAGATCATTTATCAACAATTTTTAACAAAATTGGAAGCCCTTTGGACTGTGCATCGGGCATCGGGTGTGAGCAGGCAGAAAGCGTCCAGGAAGAATTTATGAACACGAACACAGCTCGCAAATTCACAGACGCCCAGCCATTTGCTCAAATACTCGAGCAAGCCAGCATTGAAATGAATGCAGGAGCGAACAGACTGCGCGACTGCAACATCAAAACCGCATTCAAGGTTATGTATCAAAGTTGAGCAAATATAAATAGAATTGACAGAGGCAGTGGCTGTGGTTGTGGCAGAGGCAGTGGCTGCAAGCAAGGATGCGCCATCCAGACTAACATGCTCAGACACGCTCGAGTACACGACTAAATCCTTGAAGCCAAATCACATAATAGTAAATCATCGTCAAAATGTTTCACCGGCCACTGGCCACTGGCCAGCAGCAGCAACCGTGGCAACCACAGCAATAATAGCAACAACAACGACTGACAATGGCAGTGAATGGCAGTTAGACCAGGCGCTAGTTTGTTTTCATTTGATTGTACGCATGTGAGTAGTATGTGTGCGAGTATCTAAGTGAACACATTTTTCTGTCTGCCGTAGCGACTTTTACTGCTGGGAAGTGGCATTGCGTTGCCGTCTTTTATTGACACAGCAAGCAAGCAAGCAAGCAACCAACCAACCAACCAGTCAGCCCAACAGTCAGTTCCTTCGTGTGTATGCCGGCCAAATCACATTGGCACAAGTGGAGAAGGAAATAAATGTTTAGCTTGTGCAAGGATGTGCGCATAAATCAAGGATTTGTTTGCGGATTGCTTGGCCAGGCAAGCAAACAACCAGCAAGGGCGGACGACGACAATGCTGACTGAACAACAAAAACTAGTTGAACAACTTAAATTTAGACGTAGTCGTTCGTCGTCCTCTTCGTTTTCGACATAGCCTTGGTCCTAGTCTTCGTAGTCGTCATGGCATTGACCTTTCAGCTTCGCCTCTGGCCACACCTGGCGTATGCGTAATCTTTTTTAATTGAATTAAACGTGACATAATCAAGACAACAATCTTATAAGTATTTCGCCTAAAAAACCATTGATTATATTCTCAACTGATAAGGAAAGCCCGGGAACTTATAGCGAAACGTAAAATTTGTGTATCTTTTTTTTCAAATGCATACAAAGAGCTCTTGACTGTGCAAGTTGATAGAAATTGAATGCAAATTTTTGTTCGCCACACAAAACTCAATTCTCGACTACAACAAACACCAACATCGACGCTTCATAATCGCTTCAGTCGCGTAGAAAATTGCATTCGCTACCTTTTCTGCACATGCTTTCAAATCCCTGCTGCAAGCTAATGCGAAACGACATGAAAGGGTTTTGGCCATAATCCAAAGTTACGACAACGGCTAGCAGTTGGCTTTTGTTGCACACCAGCAATTTGCCGCAAATCACACGGAATGGCGGCAGTCAGAAGCCAATGGGGCGGCCATTTTTCAAAGCCTGCGCTCAATATACAGCAACTATTTCATAATAAACATAAATGGCGACTAATGAATATTTCGAGGCACACAGTTTTCCATTTGACATTATTCCGACAGCGGGCCATAAAGATCACCCACAACTCTAACAAAATTTACGGCATACTTTATAT